TTTGAGTATTCAAATTGAAATGAACAAAGAAATGACTTGGACATTTAAACTCAAGCAAAGATTTAAGTTGGACTATAGTGGACATTGAACTTGAACTATACAACATCAAGGAGAACACAAACTTGACTTGAATCAGATGAGGAAGACTTGCAAGCTTGAACATTGACTTTTATTAACTAAGCTAGAAGTTATGACTATAAGGAGCTTGAACCCAAACTGAAATAAGAAGTTCAAATTCAAATCTAAATGAATTTTAACCTAACTTAAGTGAACTTGAATAATTCAATTTGAAATTGAACAATTACAAAGGATTGTACTTAAACTTGATTGGGACACATCAAATCATATTTAGGTTCAAACTCAAATGAACATGAGACTTGAATTTTTACATTGAAAGACAAGGAACTCGAGCTCAGTAGACTTGATTTAAACATTAAGCCAATTTCACTTGAACTCCCATTTGATTTAAAATCAAATGAAATGAACATAAGATTATCTTATGATTTTCAATCCATCAAACTGCAAGTGATAATAAGTGCCTCTTATGTTCTATAAAGGAGTTCTCTACGAACACATTTGACATACTAGTAGAAGATGTACGACAAATGTGGTGGCATTCCAATCATAGTGCTAATGAAAAAATAGAGTTCCCAAATAAATATTGAAAAGCTCTTATACCAATCAAAATGCAAGATATAAACTACTTCCAAGGGCAATGAGAAGCTTATGATATTCAACATAACTCTCACACAAGCGATGTATTTCTGAATTAAATGAGCATGAAGGAATACAATAGCGAAGGACATGTTCACAAGCAAAGCAAGGGAGATGTAGGAGAAGCGGATTCTTTGTTATCAATGCAGACTAATGTGTAAATGAGCACACAGCAGTCTACTTTCAAATGGGAAGAATAGATATATTATGAGACCTTTAATTTATGTATAGCCAACATGAGATCTGCAATGAACTTGTATGTTGAAGATTAGAAGCCCTAATGAAGAGAACTATTAGTTGATGCAATGACTGACATGCAACAGATACAAGCACACACAAACTCTTGTAGCAAGGGTATCCTAGCATCCTCGTAGTCAACATCAAGATACAAATAAGCATACTGATCCACATGCAATCAAGGATAGAAGATCTGCAATATATACAAGCTTTCTACAAAGAAAGATGTACGTTCCACATGTCACTTATGTGTAGATACAGAAAGACTTTAGTAAATGCAGCATCCTGTAGTCAATTTCAACATGTAAATGAATATATCTACCTACCTACATGCAGCAGCAGTGGATGTATTAAAAAACACAAAGGCCATAAAAAAATGCATGAGGAATATGACAAGTGCAAGCTCCTATAACTTAAAGCAGGAGATTCACTAGTGCACTATAATTCGCCTGCAGAAAATGAGTATTGCATGACAGTCTACCTATGCAAAGAAGCAAACAACTCAATCTAAAAACTGCTACACCACGTCACTAAATCTGTAACACTCATACGAGCATACAGAAGGCATCCATAAGCTGCTACGCCATGCCACCAGATTTGCAACACTCATACGAGCAGACAAAAGGCATCCACAAGCTGCTACACCAAGACACCGGATCTGTAACACTCATACGAGCAGACAAAAGGCATCCATAAGACTACAATGCCACACCACCAGATCTACAACACTTATACAAGCATACAGAAGGCGTCTACAATCAACTACACAATGCCACCGGATCCGTAACATCTATGCAAGCGGACAGAAGGCATCTATAAATATTCCATGAATACCCCCATACGTGCACCATAATTTGTATACACATATGTACACAAGGGGTAAATTCAGTCACAAAACCCACATGGGCCCCGACGAGCGTGTTATTGGTACACACGTGACGTCTAGGGATGATGCACGGAATAATAAATTTGAACCCAATCCTCCTAAGTGGGTAAATAGGAACCGACAAGGTTTAACAAATAATTATAAAATGCCCCTAAACACCTGCATGGGCCCCGGCGAGCATGTTGTAGGGATAAATGTGACGTCTATAGATGCTTCGCGGGTTAAAAGAGTTGAACCCGGTCCTCCTAAGCGGGTAGATAGGAGTCGATAAGGTTCAACAAATAATTATAAAATGTCCCCAAACACTCGTATGGGCCCCGACGAGCGTGTTATTGATACACAAGTGATGTCTAGGGATACTGCGCGGGTCGATAAGTGAATTCAAATTGGAACCCGATCCTTCTATGCGTATCAATAGAAGTCGACAGGGTTCGAACCATCAAATAAATACACGGTTGTAATGACTGATGTATTTGTTTTAATACATTCATATTAGGCCTTCAAGGTCTATAATCAAAAGAATTCACTAACAAATGCATAAAGCTTACGAAACCCGATCCCCTATTGGCAAGTTGATATGGTCGACAAGGTTCAAGCTTCAAATGAAAATAACCCCTTACACCCTAATGATGATCATTTTGAATGCAAATCTCAACCGGAGGGGTCCATACCAAACATTTCAAATGCCTTTCAAACTCCACACAAATACCCATAAAATCCAAAATTCCAGAAATCTCAAAATCCCAAATATTTAAAATTAAAATTATCCATCCATACTTAAAGCAAAATTCATCCATCCTCCGTAATAGTTTGTCGAGGTAGACAAATTAAAATTTACTTAAGCTCACATAGATCCAAATTTCTAATCGAAAATATTACTAGGATCCATTCTCAAACAGTCTTCTGCCAATAAGGACGTGGTACGTGTCCTCTGACTGGCAGTTTTGCCACCAAATGGCATCGTAGGATAAACGGTTATAACCCGGGGCCCTCTGAACCGAGTGATTTTGCCACCAAATGGAACCACAAATACTGGTTATGGACAGAGCCAATACGCTCCTTAGTGGCATCAAATACTTGAGATATGAATCAATAGGATATAATCGATAGGGTACAAAGCACTCTATTAGCTAAGGTGGATCCAAATTTGTCCCCTTAGACAAACATTCATCCTAGGTCTACAAGGTACCCTTGGATGAAGCAACCCATGGCTGCTGATAAGAATCCTTCTGTCAGGTTGGGTCGACTACCTCCTCTGACTAAGCAGACCAGGGACCACGATGACCCGGGACGACGGAACCATGGGAACTTAATCCGATCCATCATCCATTCCCCAACCATCCGCTTTAAGTGCAAGATGGTGAAAATTTCTATTTTAAATATCAAACCTACAAACTCCTATAAATTCCCAAATTCTCCAACCATTCCAAATGCCCAATGCTCCTACTATATGCCAGATAACACGTATCTCTATGTATCTGATTGACGTTAGCCTTAATCAAAAGTTCTCTCTCATTATTGAGAGGGGTAATTAACTATCGGGGATTGTGCCTATAGGAAACCAGAACTCATATCATAAAGTCCTCGCAAGATGAGGGCGAAATATCTGGGTAGTGTCTTATCTACAAACCCATCTGCATTCCAAAATTTACCCCATAACCTAATTCGTTAAAACTCCCTCGCCGAAGAAAAAGCAAAAGCAAATCAGCAGGCAGAGGCCGGGGCCGAATTTTTGGAGCCCACGGATTTTTAAAAAGATGACAGTCTAGAGGTGGCAGTTCGAAGAAGACAGTCAGGAAATGTTGATCAGAAGATGATAGTTGGGTGACATGGTGGGATGTCAAAGGGCAGGGCAATGATCATTGGGCAACAAGAGTCAAGAGACAAGATCGGGCAATGACATTTGCGAATGGCTATCGTTGATGTTGAATATCATATAGAGATTTAGAATTTCTTAGATCACATCTTGAGCTTATTGGATCTATCTCATCGAGCACTCAATTTGACTATAAACTCAAAAGATTTTGACATCATTTGATCATCATATTAATTCCCTGAATTTTAAGTGTTTGAGTTAGCCTTTTATGGAGTTATATAGGATCACTTTTAGTATATTTGGTTCTTCCTATCAAGACATTCATTTCAACTATAAAATTGATAAAATTAGAGTTCATATGTTCCTCAATTCAATTTTGAAAATTTTCAATTCAAATATTGTATCGAGATTCATGTTCAATCAAATGAATTTCATAGGATGTGTATAAACATAAATTAAAAGTTTTAAAAAATTTATTTGCCAATTTTTATTAAGAATACCCTCATCTAAAAATTTTCCCATGCTATTCTTAGACCTTTTAATAAAATCTTAAACAAGCTAATTCTAATTAACTTAAAATTGGCTTAATAAGCCTATCTATAGTCTGAAAATCTCAAACGGCGCTTAATGTTGCCACATAGAGACTCAAAATAAAAGGTTTTATTATATTATTAATTGCAGATGGCTGCGGACTTGGTAACCTGGCGGTTTTTATATAACAATAGAGAGACCAAACTCTGCTATCAGGTCAACACTAATAAAAAATCTCCAAAGAAAATCTTGCTGGCCTGTGCATATCCAGCTTTTGAAAAATACTTTACCAAAAAAAAAAAAAAATTGCCTCAAATATTTTGATATAAAATGAGCTTAAAAATTATTAAATTTATTTTGAGATTAAAATTATATTTAAAATTTTTTGAATAACATTAATTTAAAATAAATTTAATACACAACTCCCCTTGGCCTATTGGTTGAGAGCTTAGGCTTCCAACTAAGAGGTCCAAGGTTCGAGTCCATGTGTATGCGTTGTGTGTGTGAGTTTGCCTTAAAATGACCTAAATGTCCCAAAAAAAAAAATAATAATAATAATAATTGAAAAGCTTATTATCATGTAGATTTAGAATTTCTTCACATAATCTTCTTTTCATGAAGACATCAGATTGATGTGACAATATAACTTGAGGGCAAATTAGTCCTCATATATGCGCTGATCAGTTCGGCATTCTAAAGGCTTTTATAAACAATAATCATGCAAGTTTGTGCACAGTTTTTATTTCAAAGAGATCAGTGGAAATAACCAGATTCAGTTACTTGAAGACGCCTGCTGCAATATTTATTTATTGTTTATTGAAATGAAAAGAACATAATTACAAGCACATTGCTGCTCCTGTTCTTCAAACTAGAACTAACAATAGTTGAAAAAATTATTGAATAAAAAATTAAAAAAAAAAAAAAAGGTTGCTCTATTTCTCGGCATTTTCAGGCGAAGGACAGGGACTGGTAACATACCTTTCTGGTAGAAGGTTGTCCCATGAAACCATAAAGATTTGATCGGTGTTGCTACCTCCGCTTTTGATTCTAGGATCATCATCTTCTTCGTAGCGTTGAGTTCTGTACTCCAAAGCTGTAATCTGTTCTAACATCCAGTTATAGACGGTGCCTTTTCGGTACACATAAATTGTACAGTCATCGGCGTCCATGTCTTTCATTGGTCGGTATTCCTTCTCGAATTCTTCCTCAGGCATGGGGGTTATCGACATAGCTCTGAATCATTGAAAGGACTGTTTTTAGTAGTAATGGATGTACCATTTCACTGATTAATCGTATAATCGGATTAATTACAAGAGATTTGAGAAAAAAACAGGAAGAAAGACAGGATCACTGAATAAAAGAATCAAGTTCACACCAATATAACGAGATAACATCACTAAAAACTCTTCCATCCTTAACTATTCAGTAAATCATTCTTAGAGTTTCATATTTTCAATCACCAAATCCTCACTCAATTTAAAAGTAAGAAAATAATAATAATAAATTAAAACTAACTTTAGGAGCAAATACAAGAGATCATCTAACAAAAGATCACAATGAGTTATCCCAATAAGCATCGAACATAGGAAATATTAATTGGAGTGAATCCTATAACCTGCTAAGGAGTCAAAAGTTGCCCAAACCACAAAACGTGTAACAACAAAAGAATTTGCAGAAATCACAATGTGGAAGGAGTCATGAGAAGCATGCATAAGTATACGAAAAAATGAAAGATTTACATTACCTCTTGGATAATTATCATTACCAAGAGGATAACAAGTCGCATAGAAACTAAAGAATAATTATCATTAAAATTAGATTAAGAAAGTTTGTCTTCATCTCGTTGCCAAAATTAAAATCAAGATACTTTTGGTGTTCTCCAGAAAAGGAATGTGAAATGTTGATTTAATTCTTTCGTGGTAAGCTAAAAGCCTACCATGCACTGTTTAAGTTAATGAATTTGATCATTGATGCGGTATTTCATCTTTCAAGTATTTTCAATTACAATTACAATAACAAAAACTAAAAAATAAAACATAGTTTAGATTGATAAGAAACATAATTATGTAGATTATTGAGAAACCTCTATATAAATAATATATAAGCCAAATCACTCAAGAGCAATTCAAGCAATTCCGTGTATTCCCTCTCCATTCTCCCTCAGCGTTTAAAGTAACTATCAAATAGGCCGTTGTGCTCAAGTTCTATCAAGCCCAAAATGTTATGCCACATGGATTCCATATCTCAAAGATCATTTGGGTTTGTACTACTAACTTTGATAGCACTTATAAATATTCAAATTTTCAAAATTCATTTTTAGGGCACAACAAGGGCATGCCTAAGGGTAGGTCTGGATAAAATTGTGTTATGACAATCAAGGAAAGTCTTTGATGAGTGAAACATATGATATTCAAGTAGAGGCATCCTCAAGGACCTGAGGTTTTCCATTTACACCTCATTATATGGTTGATATAGCATAGTTCATTTATATGCCGATTCAAAGGGAAAACTAAAATTGATTAAAATCTTCGTTGGGTAAGGAAATTAGTGATAAGCTTACCACTTAAATTGCCTATAAAACCATGTAGGTCCACCTTGTTTTGGAAAACTTATATTAGGTTGAGTTCATCAACTTGGATCCAAACTTGATCTAATAGTCTTCCCTGAGTATTTGAATTCTTAAAAATATTTATGGATCCTTACTTTCAAAACAGTTTTTTTTTTTTTTTTTGAAATTTGGAAATAATAAAAAGGATATTGATAAAAAAAACTGAAATTCATAGGTTCCTGCTCAAAATTTTCCATACTATTTTGAATCATTGAGGGCTATCTTACTAAATTTTTATGATTTTGGGTTAGATAATCATTGGTTGATTCTATATATAAATGAAGTAGTTTTGATTTTCAAAGGTCATATGATGGATAACAATGTGTTGATGTGTATCCCTAAGTACAAATGAGTGGTTAATATCCCATTAAGGAATATTATTATAAAATATTTCTACTAAAACTTAAATAGAATGAATTTAGACAATATATGGCTTGGACAAAATAGTTGGACTTATCAAAATATTGTAGGTTAAGTATAGTACACCAACGTAAGTTCTATACCCTAGGCATTTGAAATGGTTGTTGTCAAATGCCTCGCCAACTCACGTTATTACAAGACATCATCTTAAAATGTATAATCTTGATCACCTACATAAATAAAATAAAAGATCATTAAATGACAAACCCAATATGGCTATTAGGTTGTCTTGCCTATCAAGTGAAATCAGAAAACCTATTTTCCTTTTTTCATTAGCATATTTCACATTGCATGGAAACTTAATGGCATGGACTTCAAAATTCATTTAGAAGGGATATAGTGGCATTCCTTCCGTAGGATATAAGGCTAGTTGTTAGGCTTTTTGATTTCTTGCCAAAATCAATATACCATCCCTAAAATATTTTTATTTATTGAGTAGCAACCTTCCATTTGACATCAAAGGATCATTGTGGATAATTTTCATTTCATGCCTCTTGATGGACGAGTTTTGAAGTAAGTTGTTTTATACCTTTGCAAACAAAGGGTAATTTTCAAATACAACAACAACATCAAGCCTTTGTCCCACTACGTGGGGTCGGCTACATGACTCCTTTTTCTCCATTGTGTCATGTTAAAAGTCAAATCCTCATTTAAATCTAATAAAGAAATATCATTTCTAATATTTTCTAACCAAGTCTTTTTAGGTTTACCTCTACCATTCTTAACCTAGTCAAATATAATACCTCAACTTTCCTAAGATCATCGGAAGGCCTCCATTTAATGTGAGCAAACCATCTAATGTGACTCTCTCTAATCTTATCTTCCACTAGAGCTACTACAACCTTTTCACGTATATGTTCATTTTGTATCGTATCTCTAAGGGTAAAGCCACTATTCCACCTACAACACTTAACTTAGTATTATGCTTCTCTTTTAATGGCCAACATTCGGCACCATGAAGCATTGCAGGTCTCACCACCATTTTATAGAATTTTTCCTTAAGTTTGAGGGGGACTTTTCTATCGCACAACAAGCCCGATGCATTGTTCCACTTCAACCATCCAACTTGAATTCTACTGATAATGTCCCCATCTATTTCACCATCACTCTGAACGATAGATCTAAGATATCTAAAACTTGTACTCTTATTAATGACTTGATAGCCCAAAGTCACAATCCCCTCACTAGGTCTATTGCTACTAAAATTACACTCCATATATTCAGCTTTAGATCTACTCAAGTGAAAACCTTTAGACTCTAAGGTTGACCTTTATAATTCAAGTTTATCTTCAACTCGCTCTCTAGTCTTATCAACAGAAGAATATCATCAGCAAAAAGCATACACCAAGGTACATCCGCTTGCAAATGTCTAGTGAGAACATCCATGACTAAAGCAAAAAGATATGGACTTAAGGCTGATACTTGACGTAATCCAACCGAAATAGGAAAATACTTGATCAAACCACCTTGTGTTTGAACACAAGTAATAGCTTCTGCATACATTAACACATTTATAAGCTTTGTACTAAATAAGAAATAGTTTACTAGAAACTAATTTTAGGCTCGTAAGTTCTAAAATAAGATCGGATGATAGATCTTACATAGGCAACTCTTACTACTAACTTTGATGCATTTAAGGATTAGAACTTCAAACATAACAATCAAAACCAATCACAACTATCTATGACCAATAAAAGTTCTAATTGAATTGTTAGTCAAACATGATGTACAAAAATTTTATTTGACCTATTAAATTAAAAGATTAGAAAATACTATTACCCAAATTATTCAGGCACTATATATCCTATTGATTAATATTCCATCTTCACAAGCTAAAATCTTATTTTAAACTAATTAACTAATTTGCAAGTTCAGAAAATATATATTAACAAAAGCTAAAAAATTGATATCTACAACATAAAAGTCCATTTACTATAATAATTTTTTAAACATGATACATACAAACACAATCATTTCTGCTTTCTTCCTTGCAAAGTTTTAACATCAACAATATTGTTATCATCTTCATTAATTACCTTGTCCTACCTACTTAGGATTTATTTTATGAATTCAAGTCTTCCAATTTTGTTGAGTAATAGATGAGATGATAAATCAATATTATGCATATCATTTTGCACAACTTATAACTAGGCTATCATAGGTCTAAATCTTTTAATTTCTTTTCCTTGGATGTTAATTCTCTCAACTCTTCTTTCCATGTGACTTATGGTGTGCCACCATAGGTCTACCATTTTGATTTATTACATAATCAACCCATTTTACTGAAGCATTTTAAATTCTATATTGTACATGCCATATCAAAGTATCTTCTACATTATCTTAGCTTTAATATATGCTATTCCACCTCCCTAATATAATCATTTATGATTATCTTTTACAGTTTATTGTGCATCCATCTTAATATTCTTGTGACTGCATTTAGCATAATTATAGCAATTTATTGCTAATTCTCAAATTCATTAAAAAAAAAGCCTAATAGTTATTCCATAAATTTTAATTTTAAGTTTGCATGATGTTCTCTAATCACATTGCACTTTGAAGCAATCTTTTATTATAACATATCATTAACCATTAAAGTTCAAAATTTTCTCTCAATTATTCAAAATTTTCACAACTTTCAAAGATATAATACTCACCAATACAATAGCATTTGCAAGTAGCATACTTTGATATCTAATTTTGAATATTCTTTATAAATATTTTCATAATAAACAAAAAAGAATATCAACCTAAACATAATTCTCAAATAGATCCCAATAACATATCGTACTTTGAATCAATTCACTATTTTAACATTCATATTTAACTACAAAAGTTATGTTACTTGTTCTTTCAAAAATTTATTCATAATAATCAATTATAACTCATTTAATACTGCATATCCTATAAACAATCTTTGTTCTACTAGGTCAAATCTTTGTATCTACAAAATTTTCTCTAAATATTCTAGCTTTTCACACATTTTAAAAGATATGTCACTTATCAATACAATATCATTTGCAAGTAGGTTTGTAAATAAATCGAGTAAAGCCATGCATTGAATTGTTCAAGCTAGAACATTTATTTTCTTATTGAATTCAGACCAAACATAAATATGACCCGAGTTTTAAAATCTAGTTAAAACTTGTTTATTATTCTTTTATCCATCTTAAGTTGCAATCAATGTTAAATCAAGCTAAATTAA